AATTATTTATACATAGAAGGTTGGTAGACATTATTTTTTTAAGACCAAGATACATATCTATATATATAAACAAAATTTTGGTGAAACTTTCAAAATTTTCAAAGTGGAATTCAATATAATAAAGGTAAATTATTAAAATTTAAATAATTAAACAAAAGCAAACTCAATTTACATAATAAACCAATTGACATATGTGAGAACGTGTTTAAAATGATCGACAAGCCTTGTTTTATTGATGGGTCTCCATCCCTCTATCTTTCCCTCAACTAAGTATGGTAAGGACAACCTTGAATCGGAGTTTTCATGCTCATACCAACCAAAATTCACCATGGATAGCCAGGGTGAAACTTTCAAAATTTTCAAAGCATAATTCAATATAATAAAGGGTAAATTTAATAAAATTTAATAATCAAATAAAAAACTAATATATGAAAGAGTGAATTATTAAAATTTAAATAATTTAACAAAAATAATCACAATTTACATAAGAGACTATATGATAAAGTCAACTGACATATGTTAGAATGCCTTCAAAAAGGCTAGTATTTATATTTAATATAATAAAACGTTATAATGCGTGGAGTCAATATAATATTCAAGATAGAAAATTAATTGTAGTTCCTTGCTATTTTCTAAGGTGAAAAGGCTTCGTGTATCGATCGTGTTCATACTCTTAAGTCGGTAGAGGTAGAAAGTTTTCCTCATATCCATCTCATATGTTTATCCAAAGTCATATGTTGCATAACGTAAGCCTGTGTACGTCATCATTTTTTTGGTTTTATATGATGTTATATATATATTATCTGTCACTCGTCAACTTCATTGAAATTTCCAGGAAATTAACTGAACGAGCACCTTTTCCAGGGAGAAATGTTAGAAACTGAGTTCATCTGTTGTTTGATTAAATTAGGATTGTCATGCACTAAACAAAGACAGAAAGACATAAAAATTGGTTTTCCATCTATATACACATGGCATGGTGTACGTCTATTGTTTGGACATTTTCGACGTGTACAAATCATATACTAGTGCAAAATGTTGAGGAATATTAGCATCATCAATTATATACGCATGCATATAAATTAATAACTAGTAGCTTTCTGAATGATGTAACTATGATTTACAAGTCAAACAAATCAATTATGGTTCACAACTGGCCACACGTATTTTATGAGAAATTCTGTTTCTAGTAGGTAGAAGTCTTATATTGTCCACAACTTAACCAATTTTACTTTTTCTTTATTAGGAAGCTACTCATATTATTGGGAGGGTTCTACATCAAAATGTTACAACACCATGCATGTCATTATCTATATATAGTGACCACAATGTTATTAAGATTTCAAAATACCAAATTGTATATAGTGACCACAATGTTATTTATGCAATCATTACATGTTAATTAGTCATCTAAGATATATAAATCAAGTACAATTAAATCATGTAACAAGAAGACTAGAAGTTGGTAAGTCAAGCCGAATCTTGCCTCACGATCCACACCTTTGCATATTTTGAATATGAAAAAAGGCCACGTCATCTGACCTACCACCTAAATATTCATTTTTTCATGTGAGGCACTGAATTACATCAGCATATTCACGTCATCTGACCTATTTCTTTTGTACATGTTATTTGTGAGGTTGCTACCTGTTTTGTTGTCGATGAGGATAATGTACGTGTTTTGCGTTTTTCTTTTCAGAGCCAAAATTCCAACACTTGTTTCTTCTGGAGTTTCTCGATCGATCGAGAGGGCCATTGGGTTTTTGTTTGGACACTAAAGATGGCAAGGACCAAGTGAAATATCATTGTCGCCAACTAGACTTGGGATTTTACAAGTGTGGTTCGTTTCCCATTTGAAAAGTTGTTTAGAGTGTCTGCCACTCACCACGAGATATTTGATGTTATAATATCTAAACTATGCATTATGCATAGAAACATGAAATTTATGATCCGCTTTCATTATAAGTTAGGTAACAATAAGAATTTTTCCGTTCTCATTTAAGTTGCAATATTAAACAAAGTAGTGTATATTTACAAGAATTATATGAAATTATAAGGAAATTAATGATTAAAAATAGGTGCATATTACAAATGAAAAATGTTTGAATTCTTCCTTTAACAAATAAAATATATCTTATGCACATTACAAATAGATTGGGATATGGCTGAATTTTCTTAACTTAAATCTCCATTCTATCCTCGTTTCTAACTTCTTTTATATGATGTCTTCAAACCAATTTTTCAAAGAGAAATGCTAAGGAGACTACCTCAAAGTGGAACTCTCCATGGACTCTCTGCCACCATATGTTTTTGGCACAATATTTTATAATGTTGGCATAAAATTGTGCCAAAAACGTGAAGTGATGTAGAGTCCATGGAAAGTCTTCTAAGCATTTCTTTTCCAAAAGGATAACACCAAGGAGACCATCTATTTAAATTATATTTTATAAATCATATGACGTGATTGTTGATGATTGAATTATTATTTAGGTGTTGATTAACATGCTTATTTCTTATTGGTGACACATCACATGAATTACAAATGTAATTTAAAAAGTTGGTCTATCTAGAAAAGAAAAACCACTTATTGGTTTTCCTTCCGTTCTCCAGCCCAATGGATCAGGCGGACACACCGATGCCGCTTCTTCTGCTGAGATGGATTGAAATGTTCAAGCCAATCAGTCATTGCGGACTCTGATTCCATTTGTAATTAAAACCCAAATGGACACCTTCTCGCCGTGAAAAGGGCATGTTAGTTGATTTTTTTGGGCCCTTCTGGCCCACTTTATCCGATTTAGTGTTTGTTTCCTAACCACTAGTCAAACCTATATTTCTCTATCTGAAAGAGGAGTGCTAATTGTGACGATTATCATTTTGTGTGTCATTTGTCAAGAATGTTTAAGATAAGTTGCATATGCACGTGCCAACGAGCGCGACTGATCCTAACATTTATGAAAAAGAGTTCATTTAGGAATTATATAAATATGGTTTCAAAAATGAATTCCAAATTATAGACATCTACAAAGCATAGACCATTGCTATAGAGATCACATTTTTGGACCCCGACCTCATCACAAGTTTACATTGCCTAATATACAAGATTCACTTATTACATCAATTATTGTAATCACTTGTTGACAATTAACATAGAGTGTATGGATGCTAACAAGACGGTCATTGAGAAACTTGGAAGCATACGATAATTTGTGTAGTTTGACAATAATAAATGTGTAGTTTGACAAAAATAAACGTATAATTTGACAATCCACCCCCTAAAGTGAAAACCTTATCTTATCTTGTGTTGGCGTATGTGGTGCCTCCTCTAGAGTAGGATTCTCTCCCCTTTTTTTCCTCCCCTTCCATCCATTTTTATTTAAACGGTCACGGTTAAGCCACTTCAACATCCTTTATTAGTTTTATATAAAAAGATATAGACAAAATAGAGAATGTGAAAGGAGAAGAGAGAAGGAAATGAAAAGAGAAGGTGAGAGAATTATAGTCCGTCTCCTCATTGGATCGACCTGCATGCATCTCCAATGATCTAGCTAGAACACACACAGTAGGGAACGCGACAGATAAGTTTTTATTTTGTAAATGGAGTTGGCCACGTTTTTTCTTCATCCTCTAAACATGATTAAGCATTCACTAAACCTTAGTTTGTTAAACTTCATGTGTTTAAGCATTGATCTAATTTTCCGTTGCCCCATACGCGACAAAAACGATCGTTGAAACTTTCACGGATTTGGATCCTCGCTGGATCCCCTCTCTATGGATCCTAGGAATCAACACAAGTAGATCGTTAATAAAAAATTATGCGGTCACAATTTTTTTCTTTTTTATATTTTTCACACAAAACGAGACTGCTTTACTTTTCAAAATATAAAAAATATTTAATTGGAGCTGCACGATTTTTCATCAACGGTCTACGTGCGTTGATGCTTAGGATCCCTAGGAAGGGATCCGGCGAGGATCCAAATCCAACTTTCACTAATCCAATGCTTATTGCTTATGTCATGCATGCAGAAGATTTTTTCTGCACTTGATATCTCTCTCTCTCTCTCTCTCTCTCTCTCTCTCTCTCTCTGATCAATTATTTAAGGTGCACTCTTTAAATGTCGATGTAAATCCACACGCGCGCGCGCGCACATACACACATATATATATATATATATATGAAATTGCCATTTGTTTTTGTGTTTGATTCAATGAAGGATAATCAAGGGCAAAGACATGAGTTGGAGTATAGCCTTAATGTGGAGTATGTACATATACATCACTTTGCCCCTATAGCCTACGTTTTGGATATATCGAGGTTTCCCCAAAAATTGTTTTATAAGTTTTCGTGATAAACATATGTCATTGTCACGAGTCGTGTTATTGACTATTGTTTATTTGCATGAGTGATTTTTAACTAATATCACTTGGGTAATACTAGAGAAATTAAATTTGTAGATTAAATTTTATAAACTAAATGACATGAAAGTTAATGATTAGATTATTACTAAGTGTTGATTAACGTACTTATTTCTTATTAGTTACACATCGTATAGTTGTCAAATTTAGTTTATAAATTTATTCTACCTAGCATTACTCTTATTACTCTGTCACTATCGCCTAAGTTTGGAAATCTCAAGGTGCATGTTCATAAATAATGTTTTATTTTACCTATATGTCATTCTCATAAGTAATGTTAGCGACAATCGTTTATTTGTATGTGAGTAGTTTCTAGCTATTAAAGCAAATACTATATCACTATATCACTAACAACAATTAACAACCATTGATGCGCATGTACGTAACTCTACGTACATAAATATTATATTAGTGGATCGATTACTGAGAGCCACAACCACACCTAAGCAATTGTTTAATTAGCAATACTATAAATTCATATTATTGGGTGATGCACTTACTTGCCTAACAATTGTTTAAGGTCAAATCGGATTAATAGTTCCCGTGGTGATAGGGTATTCGGAGGATTGTCCATGTGGTAAAAAAAATTAGGATTTAAACACTTGTGGTGAAGATTATTAGCAAAATTACCTCCAAAAAAACAAACTTCTGTTAAACTCAGTTAAGTATGAGGATAAAAATGTCCAACCACACTCTTTATTTCTGCTAGCCTTCTCTTCCTCTCTCTGTCTGTGTAATTACCTCCACGGTGCAATGCAAGGCCACGATCGGATCAGTCGAGGTCTTCCGGCAACTTGACTCCAAGCCCAGCCGTGATGCATGCTCCCTCGTTTGCAAGCGCTAGCTCGCCCTCGAGCACCTCTGACACACCTCGACCCTGATTTTATCAGGATAGACACGTGCTGACCGACACCCGAGGGTGACGAAAGTCATTAATTGATACAAAAGCTAAGGATAAGAAGTAAATAAAAGTTAGAAATTTAAAATACAATGAAATAATAATTTAGGAACGTGCTCAGAGCATACAACTAAACATAATCACTAAAAAGAATTAAGATAAAATTGAATGAATAAAGAAGTGGGTCCTACATCAAGAGGATTCAAAGATGCTGCTGCGGAAGTGTCTTGACGCCGGGATTAGGTGCCTTGATCTTAAGTCCTGAATGAGGACGCAAAACAAAGGTGAGTGGACCAAGTTTATATATATAATAATAATAATAAAACAATTATCAATGTACTAACCCCCATAGTTTATATAATGAAAACTACTAGCATAATAAGTGATGGATTTAATAAAAATCCTAGCATGCCAAAATATCTCAAAAGTCATATCGCGAAATAACGTCGCAGAAATCAAAATAGTAAACGTCTCATAGATCGTCTCGTAAGTGCGGTGTGCTGCTAGAAAGATCACCGAATAAATATAACTCCCGGCCCAATGCATGCTCCATGGTCTCTGCGCCCGTAGCCAGAGATTACCAACTCCCGGCCCAATACCTGCTCCATGTCCCTCAGCCCATAGCTAGGGATTATTTATCCCAGCCTAAATGCCAACACCAGATCCTCACCCCAATCGGCATAGTGTCCTTTAGGTACGCACAAATAGTTACGTTTCTCATAAATAACCACTTTATAGTATAAAGTCATCCATCGTCTATACTATAAAGAGGGGTTTTTAAAACATGTTCTAGCATCTTATCGTCATCCATCAGATAGTCTACCAGATCATGGTTTTTATAGAAAATACGATATATTAAAATATAGCTCAAAATAGGCTAACAATTAATTCTTCACCAAAAACACGAGACGAAAATCAATATATTCAGTAAACAGACTTAACATAAATTGAATCATAAATTCGTAGGCATGCTAATCATTTATGCAATTAAATTATAAAATCATGTAATTTTAGAAGGGGTTCACTCACAGTACTTAGCCGCCAAAAACTGCGCCACTAGCGAAGACAGAAACGTCACAATAATTGCCCCTAAGCACATGAATGGCTCAATTAATAAAACTATATAATAGCAATTGAATTTGGGAAAACGGACATTGGAAACGGATTCAAAACGTCGAATTACCCTAAAAAGGGTCCCGGACGAAAACCCGAAAAGTCAACGGTCAAATTAAATCTAACGGGTTTTAGGCTTGAAATCCGGATTAGGGTTTAGGTTAAATAGGATTAGGATCTATTGGGTTTTGAGTTTAAGGTCCTAAGGTTTTTGGTTTAAAAGGGTTAGGGTTTAAAAGGGGTGGTTTTGGGCTTAAGCCCAAACCTATACAACCAACACACACCCACACGGCACAAACATACACATGCACTCACACATGCACACGCATGCACTACACCACAAACACACACACACGCAGCCCACATACACAGTACACAACCACACGCCTGCACATACAACATACACACACCCACACGTGCACAACACCACACAACACACACAGACACCACACAAACACCACACAACCCACACACACACAGCCCAAAACACACACGGGCCCAAAGGCCTCACAACCAAAAGGGGTTGGGCTCGGCAGGGAAGGCCCAAAGGCCTTGGGTTTGGTGGGTCGCCGGACCCAATGAGAGAGAAAACCGGAAATTCTGCCGGAAATCCACACCCAATTCAAACGGCCATAACTTTGTCAATACTTGATGAAATTAAGTGATTCAAAAACAAAAGTTGTAGCCCTCTAAGAGACGAAGAGAATGGTACCTCACATGACATCTAAATCACCGTGTTTTGGCCGGAAAACGCCTCCAAAGCCATCGAACTCGCCGGAAACTGGGTAAGATTCAAATGAGTATAACTTCTTCAATACTCAACGAAATTAAGTGAAATAAAAAGTAAATTTTTAGTACTCGGTGAGACGAAGATATTGATACCTTACACTCCGGCCAACGCGCCGTGGTTTGGCCGTAAATGGCCTCGAAAGGGGCAGTCTGCGTCGGAGCATCGTGTACGGGTTTTGCTGTCCTCGCAGTAACTGAGAGAGGGAGAACGAATTGATGATGATGATGATGATGAAGCCGTTGACGTCGGAGAGGGTAGTGTGGTGATAGGTATGTGCTCATGGGAGGACGGGAAGGAGATAGACGAGGGAGAGAGAGCTCGGGTGAGAGGAAGAGAGAGAACTGAGAGAGGAGAGAGAGACCGGAAAACACAAAAAAAATAAAACGCCCCACGGACTCACCAATTAAGGCTTTAAAACAATTTTTAAATAAAGATGGAGTTGGGGTGTTTCAGCCTCAGCAGCACCGCCCTCTGCATCGGCAGCCCGAAAGGAAGAAGAAGAGAGTGACGACAAATGATGACAGAAGAATTACAAGTTTATGAAAAATTGCTTGCAGGCAGTGGCAGTGACTGGCTGACCGCTTTTCTTCTTCTTCTTCTTCTTCGTCTCAGCAGCAGCAATTACCAAACTGGAGTATGAGATGAGATGAGAGAGATTCATCGATTAAGTAGCAGCAGCTTAAGTCTTGGTATTTTTTTTTTTGGAACAATTAACTTTTTTATATTTTGTTTGTTACTCTGGTTTACTCTTATACAATACAAATGAAAAACAAACGTCATAATGCCCTCCATATATTTATGTGTTTTACATAGCTTATGATGGACTGGTGAATCTCAGCAGTGCATAGTGAAGAAGGCACAACAAAAGACAGAAAGAGGGAAGAGAGAATAAGGCTAAAAAGAAAGAATGGTTGGACACTTTTATCCCTATATTTAACTGAGGTTTAACAAAAATCTCACATTTGGGTTAAATTTGCTAATAACCTTCACCACAAGGATTTAAATCCTAATTTTTTTACCACATAGGTAATTTTTTGAATACTTTATCACAACGGGGACCATGAATCCAATTTGACCATTGTTTAATTAGCAATAACATAAATTCAAATTATTGGGTGATGCACTTACTTGCAAGGCAATATCTCTTAAATATGGATCATATATGCATTATGGTGGAGATGAAAAATACACATACCTTCCATTCTTCACCACCCAATTAAGAAAGTAGGTCTTCATGCAATATCATTCAATCACAAAAAACTTTTAGTAAGACCATTTGATTGAGGCAATTCTCACCGATTGTGATCAGCACAGAGTTTGTGAGACTAACCTTGAATCTCATACTTTGTGAGAATGACTTATGAATTTATCGTGGTCGGACAATTCTACTCATGTTCTTTTCACCCAACATATTATTCGGTAAAAGTTGTTACTTGCAAGGCAATCTCTCTTAAATATGGACCAATTAATACATGCCAAAGTAGTCAATTTTCCAGAATTGCTCTCACAGTTAATCAAACGTGAGGTATTAGGGCATATCAATTACCAAAAGTGATTATATATATGGCGAGTGATATCCATCAATAACCAAACTTACCATAAGTGCTTTCTCTTCCAATAAGCAGCTTTTGTAAATCCTATCAGCTTGTTGGACGAAAACACACACAACTGAGAAAGAAAGCACAACTGCCGGTCTCTCTGTGGCCTAGTGGCTTTGTGTTTCACATGAGGTCCACGGGGTCGTCAGTTCGACCGGCACAAGAAGAAGAAAAAAGAAAGAAAGCACAACTGCCTCCACCTTAATATTCTATTCTTTTCTTTACATTTTTCAACTACCAGTCCCGAAGGCTGATAGGCTATTAGCTATTTTAATTAGGTGCAACTATAGTGTCAACGTGTATAAATTAACCATTTTTAAGATGACAAATGAGCTTAATTTTCTTTCATATGGTGCCAGATTTTACCTTATTAGGAAAACTACCAGTCTTTGAGCATTATTTTCTTGGTCTTCCCCATGTATTATTAGAAATTTAACAAAATAAAACTTAAAATAGAGTGACTTAGAAGTGATATGCATCCAAAGTACTTTTGGCTTATGCGATTGGGTTATAAAGTGATATGGATGGTTAATTGTCAACTGGATAATAATTGTATACGTGGGATGAGTTCACACATATTCTCACCCTACAAAATCCATAGTCAGAACAACTCAATCTTTAATCTCCGTCTGAAGACATGTCTATAAACAATCATAGTTATTCATATGTATCTGTTGACCCTAGAAACTACAAAGCCTACGTGGCGCGCAGGCCGAGTATTTTCTAAGCTAACTACGTCCTTCGGTGATTGCGGGGCGTGCCAACTCGTCGGCCGAGCTCGGCCGAGGAGTAAATTTGTTGATGTTGCGTTGAGCGCGCTGATGACTTCTGTGTCTTGCGATTGCGGCCGAGGAAGGAACAATTCTCGGCCTCTTGGGTTCTAGAGCCTGAAGACAAGGCTGCTAATTTGCGAAGTTCACGAACCGAATTCGGCTTTCAACGTGCCGAATACAATAACCTGGTAACACCTCACTTCGCCGAGAAGGCTGATGAGATGACCTCGACCAATAAGGATTCGGAAATCCTTCTCGACCGAGACTTGGATAGGTAACCAGTCGTTCCTCGCCGTAGTGCTGTTGATGCCAACGGAAGATGCTGCGAGATCGGCTGATTCTACGGTGACAGAGCTATCTATGCCGACTTAAGATATCACCGGTTGCCTTCACAGTGCTGTTGATGCCAACGGAAGATGTGTCAGCGAAAAAAGAAAAAGAAAAATCACAAGTTGTGAGAGTTTGCGCAGGGCAATTTTGTATTGATTTTGTAGGGACTTTTCCTGATGCACAGCGTCCCCTATTTATAGTACTGAACCTTGAGTCCGAGTTTACATCCTACTCGGACTAGGTTTCCATCTCCGGATCACCTCGACCAATCCTACACCTACTAGGACTATGAACCTAGTCCTTAGCTAAGCTGGATTAGTTTCCTGGATATCCGATCCCGTCGAGACTCCCCATTGCACTAGGATTCGTCATAACCGCCCTAGGTTTGGACTCCCACGGGTTGACCGATCCATGGTCCTTTTGCCGCCCGGCCTCCTGGGCCGAGAGTGATCCTACCCTCGGCCCAAACTATTATTTTGGACCCAAACAGTATCATAACAAATTAACGTTATAAGTATCAAATAGCATATTCATGATGAACTGTTTAATTTGTTTGATGCATTTGTGACTAAACGATTTCTGATTTAAATGATTTTTTGTTAAGATGATATTCAAATGAAAGATTTAGATATTTAGTGGTTTCGATTAAAACGTTTTAATAATAAAGATATGTTATCTTATTTGTGAGTTAAGAAATGAGGTCGTTCCCCAAAAAAATGCAAGCATTATCCTCGTCAATTTGTCAATTTGTCAATTTAGGGGTGTGATTTTACTTGCCTAGAGGAAGAGAAAAATGGTTAAAGTCTACATTGTCAGAACATGAGCGGCCAAACTAAATAATTATACTGTGATATTCACTAAAACACGTTATTTCGTCACTATTTCACTTATAGGATGAGTCACAATTAAAATCCATATTCAAATGTAAGGATCCAATAAAAACAATTAATTTTAAAAAACTTTAAAGAAAAGTTTTCGGTACTGTTCACTTTAACGAAAAATCACATTTTTACACTAAAAAATCAATTATGGTACCATTCAATTTACCATTTATTTTGTCCTTATCATTAAAACTTACAATTTTCAAACCATATTGAAAAAAAAAACCAAAAGAAGATATTCATTTATCTGCCGGTCGAAAGTTGAAAAAAAGTTCAAGAAAGTTTTATCCTAAATCAATTCATAGTAAAGGACGTGGCATACTCCAAATTTTTACAAGGTTTTTAAACTTTTCAACGTTGATGGTCACAAAAGTCACATCTCTCCATAGCTTTCGTTTGGCATGTCTTTCTTTGTCGATCAAAACAACCAAATTTGACATAAATCTGGATACAATGAGAAGGCAGCACCTAACAGAAACAGATGCGTCAAAGAAAAGACAGCCAGCAAAACCAGCTGGATCATTGCTTGCTTGTATAAACTTCCTCATCCCATTCCTATCTGTGTTTTCAAAGTTTCAAACCCATAATACTAATTAGCATTCTAATCACAAATTATGTACAAATTAATCCTCCTATGCTTTACTAAAAACCAAAAGCAATCCAAAACAAAACAAAACAAAAAACAAAAAACAAAAACAAAAAGCCAACTACAAAAGTGAAAACCAAAAACCCCAAAATTAGGGTCATTAATCTTTGTTTCATCACTGTTGAAGTTGATCGCAGTCGACTTTCCCTTCACCGTCACCGTCACCTTGCCATGTCCATACAATGTCTTTCAATGCTGGCCTAACATCTTCCTCACAAAACTTGGCATACTCCAAGGTATCCCCGGACGACTTTATAAACTCCACCACCGCCACCTCCGGTGCCACCGCGAACACCTCCGCGGTTACCGAAAGCCGCCCTTTTCGCCCTTCATTTGGCCCTTGCATCCTTAGTTTGAAGTCCTTCAGTTTCCTCACTTTAAAGCTCAGCCCCTTCGCCGCCACCTCAATCTTAGTCATGATTGCCGCGGCCGAGCACTTGGACGTGAACATCGACCCCGCCTTCCGCTTCGTCTCGAACAAATTCGACAAGTCGAACCCGGACGACATCGACGAAATAAACTCAAACGCATTGAAGAACTTCGGCGAGGACGACTTATTGCTTTCGTTTTGTACATCGCTTTGAGCATCGGTCTCTTCGGACTTTTCGCAAACACCTTCCGGGTGTCCCAAAAACTCCTCCGGTTTCTTCATCCCCTTGCGAAACCACGGCACGCGCATGATCGCCGGAATGGTGATTCGCTTCTCCGGGTCGGAAACCAACAGCTTCGAGATCAACCGCTTCGCCTCCGTCGAAAACCACGGCGGACATTCGAACTCCGCCTTGAAAATCTTCCTGTACATCTTCATCAGATTCTCGTCCTGAAACGGCAGAAACCCAGCGAGCAAAACGAACAGCACAACTCCGCACGACCAGAGATCCGCCTTAGATCCGTCGTACCCCTTTTTCCTCAGCACCTCCGGCGCCACGTAAGCAGGGGTCCCACACTGGGTGTGCAGTAGCCCGTCGTTCCGGAGCTGCTCCGGCAGGGAGGAGAGTCCGAAGTCTGAAATCTTCAAATCCTCGTTTTCGTCGATCAACAGATTCTCCGGCTTCAAATCGCGGTGGGAAACGCCCCGGCTGTGGCAGAAATCGACGGCGGAGATTAGCTGCTGGAAGTACTTCCGTGCCTGATCCTCCTTCAGCTTCCCCTTCGCCACCTTGCCGAAGAGCTCGCCACCCTTGACGTACTCCATGACGACGAAGATCTTGGTCTTGGTCGCCATGACTTCTTTCAGCTCCACAATGTTCGGGTGGCGGACTAAACGCATCACTTCGATTTCCCGCTTGATCTGCTCCATCATCCCTTCCTTCTTCACCTGGTCCTTGCTGATCACCTTAATCGCCACGCTTTCGTTCGTCGCGATTTGTCTGCCATGGTAGACCTTCGCGAAGGTCCCCTTGCCCAGCAGCTTCCCCACCTCGTACTTCCCGAAAAGCACCGTCCTTTCCTCCATTGATGCAAAATAGTAACTTGGGAGTGCGATTAAATAAGGGATTTTGAGTTGGGTAGTTGGGATTTGGCAAATTAAACACCAAATCTATGAGAAATTATAGAAATTAAAGAGCGGATTTGAAATGGGTTTTGGTTGATTTGGGGAGTTGGGCTCATCGCGTGGTGGAATCCAAGAGAGAATGGCTGAGAAGCTGATTATAATGGATTCCATTCAAGGGGTTTAAGGCTAGAGGGAGGTTTGCATTTGGAGAGAGTAAGATGAGAGAGAGAGGGATGATTGCCTTGACACCATTGGAGAACCTGGAATGCTCTCTGTCATACTTGGGACGCACACAGAATGAAGAAAATATCGTGGGATTTTATACCGGGAGGGTGTGGTGAGCAAGATTACAAGTAACAAGTGGACGAGTTTTATTGGTCTCAGAAAATAACAAGCCCTAATATTTTTATTTCCATGGATTTATATAATTCACAAGAACTCGCTCTTTAAAATTGAAGAGTTATTGCCTGATTGGTGATATTTCTTTTTGTTTAAAAGTGAGAGATTTTATGATCGAATCTTATTGATAGCAAATTTAATATTAAATTAGGCTGTATATTATGTGGCTTAACTGAATTTTCCCTTCCCCTAGTGTAAAAATCGATCAATATAGTTCCTGAAATTGAGTGTTGCAAATCAATGTAGTCATTCTGTTACAATTCTGTCAAAAATTATGTTATGTGTTGATGTGGCACATATATGGTCCCATAAATTTAATTAAATATTATTATGTAAATTAAAAATACTTAAATAATAAAAAACGTGGAATCCATTTATATGTCATATCAGCACTTAACATAATTTTTAACGGAATTGTGACGGAATGATCACATTGATTTGCGACAATCATTTTCAATGATTACATTGATCGATTTTCAATTTCAGGAACTATCGTTATTGAGTAAGTCAATTAAAAAATTATTTATGATAAAATCCCATTTCGTATTTATAATCATCCTAATATGAAGTAATCTGATAAATACGAAATTTTGTAAATAAGCGAAGTATTTTAAGGACAAGTTTCTTTCCAATCTTTCAGGATTCAAGTCTTTATTTTTATAATTAACATTTCGTATTTGGTTTGTTTTTTCCCTCAAATTTTTTCCTTTGTTTGTTTCGGTTAAAATTTTTATTGTATTTATTTGTTGCTCTGTTTGTGGCTGGGTTTTATGCTTTGAAAGAGGATTGGCCGGTTGGGTCCATTTAATTTTCTTTCCTCAAAGTTTCCACCGATTTCTACAAGAAACAAACATAGGAAATGGGACGAATAATTAAATTACAAATCGCAATTGTTGTAAGGATCATTTTTCTTGATTTTGTCAACATTTGGAGAGATTTTTCAGTGTGACCGTCACACGAGATAATACACTACGTGTCCATATATAAATTGTGAGATATGTGTGCTAAAAAGTTAATAGTTTAAAAATTAAAATTTTTCCACTACTTACATAAAAACACGTGGTGTACCATCCGTATTCTCGTCACAACTAAAATTTTCCCCAACATTTGGTGGATAATGTCATCAATATTTGATCAATATATTGTACTTAATTAATTTTAATTTGTTCGAATTTCAATAGGTCACAACTTAATATCAAACCCACTACAATATATATTGTAATCGTATCAAATACTAAATATTGCTAATTTATAGCAACTTAGTACTACGGTTTAGTGGTATTCTTCTTCACCTGTGAGAGGTCTTATGTTCGATTTTACCAAAAAACGAATTTGAACTACATTATTACTAGTCTATTATGAAGCCAAACACACTCTATTCTTTAGTATGAATAATATTATTTGTATAAAAAAAAAGTATTGCTATATGATGCCCCACAACAATAGTGTACATTCTGGTTTCTGTCAAAACAGCTTCCTTTTAAATTTCCATTTATTTTTATATTTATAGCCTTAATAACGTCTTTATATATTAAGTAGCAAATAATAAATACAAGAGATAAATAAACTGAAGGTTAAAAAGACGTGGGAGATTCTAATTTCCTCAGAGTAACATGCAAGTAATCGAAGTCCTTTCGCGTTCATTTTCCCACCACCGCTTTAATTCTTGTACATCACTTTAGCTTTTGCATACGGGAAATATCTTTCCCAAGATTTTTCTTTCTAAAAAATAACAACAATCATAAAAGGGATAAGGAAGGGAGATCAAAAATTTTAAATTAAATAATATGGTTGTAGATAATTAAATTATTATTTAAATGTTAATTAACATCCTTATATAAAATGATCTTTATAAACTTAAAGACCACCCCCAATGTTTTATTTCCCCACCCACTTTGAAATGATAATTTTATTGACAAATTTATCCTAATATAAAATGACCTTTAAAGACTTAAAGACCGACCAATTATGTATTGCCACATAATTATTAGATATCTTGACAAATAAAACTTAAAATATCATAAATAAGAAAAAATAAATAAATATCATAAACCCCACCTCCACAAGCTTTCCTGGGGAAGGAAGTTCAGAAAATTTATCAGGAGAAGGGGGAATTCGAACTTGACAAAGCAAAACCTCGAGACTCACAATAAAGTGCACGTTGTGGAATATGTGATCAAGCTTCACACGAGGAGGGGCGCGGGGTGTTTGGGTGTGGTGGTGCCTTGGCTGAGGATTTGGGGGTGTCGGGGTAGTTATAGTTCTAGGATTATTTTAGGGGGGGGTTGCTGCTGGTGGTGATATTTGGTGTTCTTGAGTAATGATGTTTTTTTTTCTTTTTTTTTAATTATAATAATTTTTCAAAGTAAGGAAAATTTGAAGAAGAAATATCTAGGGTTACTTTGGAGATAATGGTGGGTGAGAAAAGAGTTTATGTATTTTTCAACTTTTTATGGTGGGTGTAAATATAAGGTGGGTGGGGAAACAAGACATTGGGGTGGGTATAACACTATTCTAGATTTGTGACATATTATTTGGTTTAAAATTTTAGTCTCCCTAGCATTACCCGTATAAAATTATCAATGAAAAAAAAAAGCGGATTAGTGACCTCATTTTTTCATAATTTTCACACAAGTATTTGTTGATTTCTTTCCGTTATGAAATTTAACGATACAAACCGTTTATCTTTTAGAATATTATTCATGGATCATTTTTGTAAAAACTTAGACAAATCTAAATGTAACATCTCACATCGTCCAGGAGAGTGGATCATGTAAGCCTTATATGTAAATTTCCATCTCTACCTAGCATAAGGCCTTTTGGGAACTCACTCGCTTCGGGTTCCATCGGAACTCCGAAGTTAAGCGAGTTCGCGCGAGAGCAATCCCAGGATGGGTAACCCAGTGAGAAGTCTTGTGTGAGTTCCTAGAAACAAAATCGTGATGGCGTGGTCTGGGCCCAAAACGGACAATATCGTGCTACGGCGGAGTAGAGCCTGGGATGTGGTAGGGGCTCGGGTCGGGATGTGACACCAAAATCATTAGACATTCATTTGTACATAATAAAATAGACGAATGCAGTTCTAACAAAATAATCCTAAACCCTTAATCCATATGATTTCAAATTTGAGTGCTTTTTTTATAGACATGATATTTGAGGAATACCTAAAAAATAAACGGTTCAGATCGTTGAAATACATTACAAAACAGGTACCATAAGAACAAATGCCATAAATTATGTAAAATAGTAATGACACAGATCCATCCTGTATTAAAAAAAAATTATAAAATTCAAACATGTTGCTGCCGACCTAGAAAAAAACTCCCTTGCAAGCTGTGAACGAACTGAGTTGCTCCCAAAACAGTATTTGATTAGTATCAATATTAATTAGCCACGTCAATTCTTCAATTCGGCCAAAGTGTTAGAATAACACGACCAGTAACAAGTGGAAGAGTTGACTTTTGAATAGAAATTCAAAGTTGAATTAGGGTTTTCCAAATTCGAATTGTCGTATTTGGATTTTTTCTTCAGATTGAGAAGTCTCCCACAAGTGGTAGACAAGATCGCACAGATTTTATGCTTAACCAAAAGTTAAATCCTCTTGCCTTGGGATTAAAGTAAGTGAAAAGTAGGGTTTGATACTCTCTAATGCAAATATAAGAAATCTTGCATGAGAAAACACTCCCTAATACAAGTAACAAAAAACACTTTAGGTACGAGATCTCGATTTACGGATGTGAAAGAGTCCACAATCAGTTAGATATTTTGGATGAAAGGTTGAGATGTCGAATTTCTTCATTGATACGTCAAATTGCAACAAAATTTTCAAAGTACAACAATTTTTTCAAGATTACATAAAAAATCTTATCCGATGGGTCCTCAAACGAAGTGCTATTTACTACTTCGCGTTTTCTTGTCAAGAATTTTAGCTCACGTACATTTTTCAAATTCAAAGTTTCTGTACTTATTTTGTTCGTGATCTCTTTGTGGTGTTTATCATCAATTGACACATGTTAATAAACTTAATCATTCTTAACTTTGTTTTCATAAGGGTAATGATAGGAAGATCAAAATTTTTAAACCAGATTTGCAAACCAAATTGTGTGGTGACTGGTTGTAGATGATTGAATTATTAACTAAGTGTTGTTTTATGTGCTTGTTTTTTATTGATGACACATAATTTGGTTTAAAAATTTAGTCTCCCCAACATTACACTTATTACAAACTTAACATGTGTCAATTAATGATAAAAATCATAGAGAAATTACACACAAAAAAAAAAAAAAAAAACCATTGCAAAATATTTAAACTCAAATGTTTCTTCTTTTGCTTACTAAAATAAGACATAGAGACGAGCATATTGGAGAAAAAGATTCTATAGACAAGCTTGAGTGGAAATATAATTTATTTCATCATTCTTGCGACCGGCCAATGGGTTTGGTATTTCTTGATCATGTTTGTGTGGCTGCATAGCATCATCTTCCATTTATAAACATATTTAAATCACAATTATTATGCATCTTAATTTATCCAACGGCTACAAAATTCAGCCAAGAAAGTAA